TAGACAAGTTGCGCTGGCATATTATAGGATTATCCGAAGTCCGAAGAGAGGGGGAGGACACGGTAATCCTCGAATCCGGCAACTTGCTCTATCACCGGGAGGGCGACCATCTGTCCCAAGGAGGTGTCGGATTTATCGTCCACAAGTCTCTCGTTAACAACGTTGTAAAGATCGGGAGTGTGTCGACGAGGGTTGCGTACCTTATACTCAGAATCACCAAACGGTATTCGCTGAAGGTCATATAGGTTTACGCACCAACCTCGGCACACCCCGATGGGGAGGTGGAGGAAATGTATGAGGATATCTCTAGAGCCATGCATTCCTCCAAAACCCAATATACGGTGTTAATGGGAGACTTCAATGCAAAACTAGGCACAAGAGAGAACGGTGAGCTGAAAGTAGGGAAATTTGGAATAGGGCAACGGAACCCAAGGGGCCAGCAGCTGGCCGACTTCATGGAAAAAGAGGGACTCTTTATGATGAACTCTTTCTTCCAGAAGCGGCCCCACAGGAAGTGGACCTGGTCGAGCCCCGACGGTTCGACAAAAAATGAGATTGACTTCATTATGACGACCAGACGACAACTGTTCAGTGATGTCTCCGTGATCGCGAGGGTGAAAACTGGTAGCGATCACCGAATGGTTAGAGGCACACTGAACCTAAACGTTAAGTTGGAGAGGTCTCGTCTAATGAAGTCAACGCTCCGTCCCCCTCGTGCTCTGTTCCAAAGTCCCGAGACCTTTCAGCTCGAGTTACAAAACCGTTTTCAGTGCCTAGAAGACTGCAATGAAGTGGACGATATGAATGACAAGCTCGTGGAAACTGTCCATGCGGTCGGAGCTAAGTTCTGCAAGACCCGCCGCAGAAGAACACAAAAACTCTCCGATCACACTCTTAATCTCATGGCTGTTAGACGGGAGATGAAGCTACATTCTTCAACAGACTTGACAGCATACAGGCATCTGAACAGACAGATCTCCAAATGCATGCGGCGGGACTTACGCAACTTCAATACAGCTCGTATTGAAGAAGCGATCGAGCGGAACCAAGGCTCCAAAGTCTTTGCCAGAGATCTGTCTGCCAGAAAGAGCCACCTGTCAAAGCTGAAGACAGAATGTGGCAGCATCGTTTCTGGGACACCTGAGATTTTGAGTGAGATTGAGAGGTTCTATGGGCAGCTGTACACGTCATCGTTGGAGCCACACGCAAGTGTGAGTAACGATCCAAGAGCAAGTCTCATCCGACACTATTCCGAAGATATCCCGGACGTCAGTCTGAGCGAGATTAGAATGGCTCTCCAGCACCTTAAAAACGGTAAGGCCCCAGGCGAGGATGGAATTACAGCGGAGCTTCTGAAAGCGGGTGGAAGACCGGTACTTGAAGTCCTTCAGAAGCTCTTTAATTCCGTCCTCCATGGTGGCATTACACCGGAGGCGTGGAGCAGAAGTGCGGTGGTCTTGTTCTTCAAGAAAGGTGACAACGCTCTCTTGAAGAACTACAGACCGATTTCCCTTCTGAGCCGCGTCTACGTGCTGTTTTCGAGAGTCATTACGAATCGTCTCGCGCGCAGACTTGACGACTTCCAGCCTCCCGAACAAGCCGGTTTCCGAAAGGGCTTTAGCACCATAGACCATATACATACCCTTCGGCAAATTGTACAGAAGTCCGAAGAGTACAATTTGCCACTATGTCTGGCGTATATGGACTATGAGAAAGCCTTTGATTCCGTCGAAATTTGGGCGGTGCTGCAGTCCCTTCAGCGGTGCCAAGTTGACTGTCGGTATATCGAAGTGTTGAAGTGCTTGTACAGTAGGGCTACGATGGCTATCCGAGTACAGAACCAGAGTACGAAACCTATCCAATTACAGAGAGGTGTAAGACAGGGTGACGTCATATCCCCGAAACTCTTCACCGCTGCATTGGAAGACGTTTTCAAGCTTCTGGACTGGAAAGGATACGGTATCAACATCAATGGCGAGTACATCACTCACCTTCGATTTGCCGACGATATAGTCCTTATGGCAGAATCGCTGGAAGACCTAAGCACTATGCTCAATGACCTCGATAGTGTTTCCCAACGGATAGGTCTTAAGATGAACATGGACAAAACAAAGATCATGTTCAATGTCCATGTCACACCTATGCCGGTAGTTGTTGCGAACACTAAGCTCGAAGTTGTTGACGAGTATGTTTACCTGGGACAAATAGTCCGACTAGGTAAGTCCAACTTCGACCGAGAGGTCAATCGACGGATTCAACTCGGCTGGGCAGCGTTCGGGAAGCTACGACACATCTTCTCGTCAGACATACCTCAAAACCTGAAAACGAAATTGTACAACCAGTGCGTGTTGCCAGTGATGACTTACGGAACTGAGACGTGGTCCTTCACTGCTGGCCGTATGAGGAAGCTCAAGGTCGCTCAGCGAGCTATGGAGAGGGCTATGCTCGGAGTTTCTCTGCGTGATAAACTTAGGAATGAGGATATCCGCAGTAGAACAAGAGTAACCGACATAGCCCAACGGATTAGTAAGCTGAAGTGGCAGTGGGCCGGCCATATAGCTCGAAGAACCGACAACCGATGGGGAAGAAAGGTTCTCGAGTGGCAGCTTCGTACCGGTAGGCGAAGTGTAGGGCGTCCCCCCCCGAGATGGAGTGACGACCTGGTAAGACATGCAGGAAGTCGATGGATGCAGGTGGCTCAGGACCGTGCTTTGTGGTATTTTTTGGGGGAGGCCTATGTTCAGCAGTGGACTTGTGAAGGGCTGTAATGATGATGATGATGATGATGATACTGATATCATTAGCATGTCGGTGCCGCGAACTCATAAGATTTTACCGATCCAAAAACATCCAACGACCATATCATATGCCCATAAGGTCAAACTTATAGCTACAGATACAACTGATAGCATTAGCATGTCGTTGACGCGAGCTCATAAGATTATATCCATCCAAAAATCCTACGCGTCTAAAGAATTTTTCACTTCAAAGCTTCCTTTTTATTTTTGGTAAGCACAAATGATACAACTAGCCCAAATAATAATATATTTGGCATTAAAATGTCCAAAACAAAAAAAATGTTCTTAGCACGTTTGTCTTCTAGGCCATCGATATAATATGATGTAAACTCGTACGACTACTTATGTTAAAAAGTACCTAGTATTACTATTGTACGAATAATATAAAAAATGTGTAAATCGAACAAAAACTATCCTTTTCGCGTTGCTAGACAACAAAGAAGGCCTTTTAAAGCCTTCAAACATTTTAGTGGATTTATTCGATTCTTTTAGGAATTACTTATTGAGCAATTTTATCTATTCTTTGTTAGAGGACATGCTCCTTTGATAGCCATAAAAGGATTGCGTTCGCCTTTCAAAAGGGATTTACGTGCCATTACTTGACAAAGCCTGTGTTAGCCTATTTGTACAAACTTGTAAGAAATACATTTAAATCTCTACAAACACTTCTTAGCGTTATTTCTTGTATAAATATTCAATTATCAGTCTATTTATTTTACAAATTCACCTAATAATATAATAATTGTTACATACACATATACATACCTACTTTCTGCTACAAAAATAATAAATTGTGTGAAGTCATTAGAATCAACGTGGTACAATTAAACAGCATTGCGCATACTGTTTTTTATTTAAAGATAAAAAGGCACCACTCTTTAAGGCTGCGAGGCAATACATCGGTTTCTCCGTTACCTAGGTTAAGTTTTCGTTGAGATAGGGGCAGTCAGGTTTAGGTTTTATACTTGGTAGAGTCATGCTGCAGCTATATTATCTATTTATTTTTTATTTATTTATCCGTTATTGCAACACACCAACTAGGGGTTACAAAGGGCGGACTTAATGCCCTATGGCATTATCTACCAGTCAACTCGACGAAAAATGGAATAAATAAAGATGTTGGCAGGTGCAAGTTAAGGACAATAATAAAACATAAGTTATAAATAAAAACAGTTCAGCTATAATAAATAGATCACACAATAAAAACTACCTAATTGCATTATATAAATACAGTATACATAAACAACACACATATGTAAATATATATATATATACACACACACACACACACACAAATATATATATATATGCGTATATATACACACATATACACATATATATATATATATACATACACACATATATTAGGTATATCATCAGTTCAGGTCAGGTCAGGTCATAAGTATTGTCACACAGTAAAAACTTTTCTTTTAGAATGCTGACCACAAGAAAGTTTATAGAATTCGAATTTCGAATTGTTCATGAAAATAAAACTGTATACTTTTTAGAATTTTACTCATTTTTAAATATAGAGTGGACGCTTAAAGAAGACCGTGTTGCAGTTATTGCGTTGCATCGTTGCGGTACGCGCCAATTCAAATTTTTGACATACTGAAAAATTTGAATATAACCAAAAGATTCGTTTATCGTACCATCAAACGATACAATGATGACTCTAGTGTAGATGACAGGTCAAGAAGTGGTCGCCCTCGGTCTGTTAGGACTCCAGCAGTGATAAAAGCTGTGAAGGCGCGAATTCAAAGAAATCCCAAACGTAAGCAGAAACTGTTGGCCCTTCAGATGGGGTTAAGCAGAACCACAGTGAAAAGGGTGTTAAATGAAGACTTCGGGCATATCGAAGAAAAAACAGGACATCGTTTGAATGCTCGTCTAATGGACCTAAGACTGAAGAGATGCCGCGCTTTGTTGAAGCGGTACGCGGGAAAAAATATCGGGAAATTCTTTTTTCGGGTGAAAAAATTTTTACCGTAGAAGAGAGCTACAACAAACAAAATGATAAGGTGTACGCACACAGTAGTGAAGAAGCGAGCAACCGTATTCCGCGTGTCCAACGAGGTCATTTTCCATCCTCGCTCATGGTATGGTTGGGAGTTTCTTATTGGGGATTAACAGAGGTACATTTTTGTGAGAAAGGTGTAAAAACGAATGCAGTTGTGTATCAAAATACAGTCCTGACGAACCTTGTGGAACCTGTTTCTCATACCATGTTCAATAACAGGCACTGGGTATTCCTACAAGATACGGCGCCAGCTCATAGAGCGAAGAGAACACAAGACTGGCTGGCGCCGCGTGAAATCGACTTCATCCGCCACGAAGACTGGCCCTCCCTCTAGTCCAGATTTGAATCCGTTAGATTACAAGATATGGCAACACTTGGAGGAAAAGGCGTGCTCAAAGCCTCATCCCAATTTGGAGTCACTCAAGACATCCTTGATTAAGGCAGCCGCCGATATTGACATGGACCTCGTTCGTGCTGTGATAGACGACTGGCCGCGCAGATTCAAGGCCTGTATTCAAAATCACGGAGGTCATTTTGAATAAACTTTAGTATCATAAGAATCTATGTTTTGTTATGTTCATTTTGGTATATAAATGGTTACATAATGAATAAACTTGTTTCAATTATTTTATATTAAACATGTGACAGAATTTATGACCTGACTAGGTACACATATATACATAAATATATATATAAATTATAAATACACATATAATATATTAATATATATATATATATATATATATATATATATATATATATATATATATATATATATATATATATATATATATATAAAACGGGAAAGGCAATTAATTGTTGTTTACCTCTAAATAACGTTGTCGCACCAATCTTTTAAACAAAAGCTTATTCGTAACTTCGTAAAGCGTTCCAGAGAAGAATAGCCTGAACTGTGAAGGAAGAATTAAAAAATTTTGTTATATTATGGTTGCAGCATGGATCGACCGCCTCGATCATGCTCTCACAGAATACTAGCGATAAATAACAGCTCAATGCTGCTGTATTTCTTATGGTGATAGAACAGTAGAGAACAGGAGACCCTTCTAACTGGAAACGAAGCAGTTCATCCTAGTCCTCAGAGGTGGCATTTTGATTCTTATTTGAGGAAAGATGTAGATGCTTATGGGCCACAGCATCCAATTACCATCAGGTGGGCTGTTGCTATAGGTGGACTGTGACGGGAGAGGTCTCAAAGGGTTGACTATCACCCTGCCGTCTGCAGTCGAGATGAATTTGGGGGAAAAGAGGAAATGAAATTTTTGGTATGGCGGTAAACCATTCGCCAAATTCTACGCATCTCTTACGAAGAAGAGAAGTAATAGTATTGCGAGACGCCGCTTAGATTTTACTGATTTTGATTAAGTGATTAAAATAAGTAGAAACTTTACATTTTATTATAAGTACTTGTTTGAAAATAAAATTTTGTAATACAATTCAACGTTTAATAAAGTAAAATCCGACTTCAAATTCTCAAAAGAAAAAACAATTCTCTCACAATAGCTTCTGAAGTCAGAAGAATTAATACCTCGATTAGAGAATTTGTTTTTACTTTTTGCTATAAGATTATTTTTTTACCTTTATAAGGGTGAAATTCTTATTTCATCTTTTTATATGGGACCATCCCTAATACCTATTTAATAAAATAGGAATCATTTAAATCGGTTAAGCCGTTCCATGAAATAGTGAACATAAATAAGAAAAATATAAGTCAGTGTACTGACGCAGGTCTAGAGATGGCAGAAAATTTACAGAGTAATTTCATAAATGATCATCATCATCATCATTACAGCCCTTCACAAGTCCACTGCTGAACATAGGCCTCCCCCAAGGAATGCCACAAAGCACGGTCCTGAGCCACCTGCATCCATCGACTTCCTCCATGTCTTACCAGGTCGTCACTCCATCTAGTGGGGGGACGCCCTACACTTCGTCCGCCGGTACGAGGCTGCCACTAGAGAACCTTTTTTCCCCATCGGTTGTCGATTCTTAGAGCTATATGGCCGGCCTATTGCCACTTCAGCTTACTAATCCGTTGGGCTATATCGGTAACTCTGATTCTACTGCAGATATCCTCAATTCTAAGTTTATCACGCAGAGAAACCCCAAGCATAGCCCTCTTCATAGCTCGCTGAGCGACCTTAAACTTCCTCATACGGCCAGCAGTGAAGGGCCACGTTTCAGTTCCATAGGTCATCACTGGCAACACACACTGGTTGTACAGTCTACTTTTTAAGTTTTTAAGTATACCTGACGAGAAGATATGCCGTAATTTTTCGAACGCTGTTCAGCCGAGTTGAATCCGTCGATTGGCAAATATCCCCCTATGAGACAATCTACGGGGGAGGCTATGTTTAGCAGTGGACTACTTTAATAGGCTGTAACGGTAAAGGTTAAGCTTAAAGACATAGATGATAGTAAAATTAAGTGTTCGTCAGCAAACTAGCATTACAACGTTTGGTTTTCGCAGTGTTAGACTGACAAGACTAAGACAAAGGGATAATTATGATTTTATTTTTCATACGCGTAAAACACTTGTGCTGTACTGGTTGACTCAGTGAATGCAATTGACATCAGGAAGGAGAAGTCGCTATTCGTGATACAACACAAAAAGGTGATACAATGATAACAATTATTAAAGTATTCTCTTAATTTCGATTCAAACTACTTTTTTCCATTTATATTTCTTCTTAAAATATAAAAATTATGTAGATTTTATGTTTGATATTCGTACAGTAGAATTGAATCGAACCCATATTTTTGTACTTAATGGATTTAGAACGAAGGTAAAAAGCATGATTATTGTGTATCTAATAACTATCTACTTTCGCAAGCCATTTATATCGATTGGGAGTATCGATTGTACGTTACTTCAAATAAAATGTGTAATAAGTGTCACATAAACAGCGTGATTTAGCATTACTGCAGCTATTACTTTGCGTCGGATTTTTAAATGGTTGCATTTTTGTAACCGTGGCTTACGGACCCCTAAACTTGGGATATGTCTAATGCCTTGTGATTTATGGAGTACTGTACTTCCAGTATTACTTAATATTTAAAGGGCGACTAAGGGTTGATAATACTAAGAGGTTAAGGCTAAACACGTTTCTGTTAAAAGTCTACATAGTAGAAAATTAACATATAGATTTGTAAAATTTTTGTCACATCACTATTTTGTGAAAAGTAAAATATGTAGTTTAGAATTAATAGCTTTAAATTTTTGGGTAAAAAACTAAAGTTACAGTCTATAAACGTAACACTGCTGAGCACAGACCTCATCTCATATCTGAGATTGTTATGAAGCCGCCATATTTTTCTTTATCTTTTTAATTTTTTCCTTAAAAAAACGATAGGATCATCATCTGTGTTTTGGAGACGTTTTACATACATAAATTGTAAGTGGAAAAGCATACTGACAGGGAACATTTATTTGTAGGCTTAAATACTTGTTCCGTGCGGAATACGAACCTACGCGCAGTCAAATGCTTAGCGACTACGCTACCAAGCAGTTACCGTTGCTTAACTTCGTGTTGGCAGGCTTTTTAGGCCCCCGAATGTTTTAATTTTTTGGATGTTTTCTCATGGAGTTTATTTTTTCAGTTTTCTAAGGTTAATATAAAATTATTTTTAACATAAAATCGTATTGAATGTGTAAGAATGTACTATTTTAATTCTACAGTAGGTAGAAGACTTTTAAAATGTTATAAATTTGTATGACAATTGTAACTAAAACTATAGATATTAAAGCTACTAGAATTATCAAGGTAAAGTCAAGAACAAGATAGTTGTAAATCTATCCGAAATTATTAACACACAGGGGTAAAGCCACTAAGATTTTAATTACTCCGAGATATACCCATCTGTTCTGCAAGTTATCTCACAATCAAATCGTACGAATGATCGCTATTGTTGCAACATAAAATTACTGCTCATATTATCAAGAGCGCATTTCCCTGGGGTAAGGCCGACCATTAACGCCAACTGTTCGCATCGGTTCTCCTTACTATCGTAGGTAATATATTGCACACGCGGTTCCAGTGTGCTAGTGGATATGCTGAGTTATGATTAATAAGCTTTTGGTTGTGGCTTACATTGTGGTGAAATGTGTCGTCGGTTATTAATTGTCAGTCTTTAGGGTAATGTTGCATTCAATAAATGTTTTACTAATGTCATGCATATTTCAGAAGTATATCATAACTCTCTCATATAAAGACGTAAACAAAATTTATGTCTAGTTCACTTTTAGTTAAAAATTGGTGAATTTTATTATCACTATTTTTTTATTTTTTTGACAACATAGCTGTAAAATAGTATATTTTATAACGTTTAAAAAATTATACGTAGTAGAGCCATGTTGCAGCTATATTAATTGTATAGTTGTACCATGAATGGGTCGGCTCGACCAGGGAAGGACCACCCTCTCACAGAATACTATCGTTTAATGCTGCTGTGTTTCGTATGGTGAGTGTGGAGATCCGGAGAATCTTTTTACTGGAAAAGATTTAGATAAGAATTATTATTCCATGTTAGTCCTCACATCTGACAACACTTCTGCATTTTTATTCGTAAACGGGGTCTATGGGGTCTATGGGTCACAGCAACCACTTACCATCAGGTGGACTATGCGCTTGTTACCCTTATCCTATAAAAATAAAACAAATAAAAGTTCACTTAAAAAAAACGCGCTTTAACGGTACGCATAAAACATTTGAACAGTAAAATATCCTTCTATTCATTGCAGTCTATAATAGTTTGCTTTTGAATATAGGCCTCCCCCATATATTGCCTCATAAGTGGGATTTTGCCATAGATGCCTGGATTTTGAGTTGTTATCAGGAAAATGCTGCTACCCATCTCCTGTTTCAATTTCCCTTTGTCGTCTCTAACGACACCCACGGGACGATAAGGGATAGTAGATAATTCAAACACCGCCACTGCACGGTAAATATCTACTTATCGTAAATTAATTTACACGGTTTAATTTTAAGTATTGGCAATTTCTCATTTATAACCCTGTTGACCTTTTCGAATTATTATTTGTTTATTTATTCCATAATTGTTGTGATTAAAAGATATAAAACGCTTTCGTCTATGTTTTCACGAGAGTTAAGAAAATAATATTGAGACCATTTCGTTTTATTAAATTGAAAAGCATGTTTTTGTTGTTAACCATGTCATTTGCTGATAATAATACCTAAGACAGAGGTAAAAAACTCATTATATTATTGATAGAGGTAAAAACTCACTTGACTTTGTACTACAATGATTTACAACCTGCATGGTTTACAAAATGCATTAATTTTTTTAAAAGAAAGAAAAAAAAAGAATTAAAAATAACTTAAAAGTAATTTACGCGTGAGCGCTTTGTGTGTGTGTGTGTGTGTGTGTGTGTGTGTGTGTGTGTGTGTGTGTGTGTGTGTGTGTGTGTGTGTGTGTGTGTGTGTGTGTGTGTGTGTGTGTGTGTGTGTGTGTGTGTGTGTGTGTGTGTGTGTGTGTGTGTGTGTGTGTGTGTGTGTGTGTGTGT